ATTGTTCTTAAGCCAGTCTTCTCTGGCTTTTTATATCAGACCCTTCACCCTAACAGCTATAAACATCTATATGGCATAATAAAAACTTATTTTAGTATTTGTTCCCAGAATGGAAAGCTCAGTATCTACGTGGAAGTCTCCCTGTGTTTTGGTGACTGGGTCACCTTTCCCATTTAGGGGGGTCCTTAAGGAGAAGCTCTGTAAATTCACACCAAAAGAAGATAGATGCTCCATATTTTTGTCTTTGACTTGCTGTGGCATAAAATAATGCATCTCCATGATCCCCTTGTGCTCTGACACTGGTTTTGTGCGACCAGGCTTTGAGGGCAAGATCTGGTCATTCTATTCAATTTAAGCACAGTTTCAAAAAAGGAGTGTAGCCCAGCTGCCACCTGCAGCCAGTTCCAAGGGGACAACCTGCAGGCAGCTGAAATGCTCCAGCCCTTAAATGACAAGGTCAGTCTGCTGCAGTGCAGTGTCCTGGAGCATGAGGTCCTGGTATTTTTTTTTAGTGATCATTTTTTAGACAGAAATTGTAAGGAAATGTTTCTCCAGCCACATTCCTGAAACTTAAATTGGTGCTCAGAGATTTGGAGACACTTTCTTGCCCTGCAAGTGCTGCTAGGGACCTCCTAGTGTCTGATGTTACTGATGGATCTTTTTTTTTTCCCCTCTTTTCTTTTCCTAGTTGCTGGGGCTCTGCTGGGCCTGCAAGTTGCTCAGCAAAAAAAAAAAGAGCTGTTTTTGCAATTACTTCGTATAATGCTAAGCTGGCCTTGGCCTTAGTTTCTATAGCAGAAGATTTATGGCAGTGTAGTTAAGGCACTATTACCACTTCATAAAAAAAGAGTTCATAACTTGACAAGAGAAGTTTGGTTTCAGTACTTTCATTCTCAGCATTCATATTTGACCCAACAAATAGAGTAACATCCAAAATGTCCTGTTCGATTATGCTTCCTTCCCCTGGCTTCTCCCTAGCTTTGATATTCTGAATGCCTTTTGGCAGTGATCAGTGTGTAACATGTGATAACATTTGGTACTCATCAGCAGGAATAAAATGGCACATGCTTTGGTTTAAAGTCTTTGTGCTTTGTAATTGCCACTTTCCAGGGAATGTGCTTTGTAATTTTTGAGTTATACAGTCCAGATTCCATGAAAGGGGTTGTGCCATGTAGGTGCAAGGGAGAGTGAGGCAATGGAAAAAGGTTTGGTTAAAAAGGGAGAAATAAATTAACTTCTTGAAGCCTGTTCAGAGTTGGTGTGGAATCCTTGGAGTTTTTCTGTTGTACTACTGCAGCCTTATTTTCTTTGTCATTGTCTTCTTGCAAGGACAACTTAAATCAGGGTCCAAACTGCCCAGCTTGAAGAAATCAAATGTGGGAAGGCTGAGCAATTGTCCCCAGGAACTGCTGATCTCTGTGTGGATATAAAGGACCTTAGGCACCATTTTTAGTTTCTTAAAGGTGGAAGAGTATCTCAGGAGGCTTTTTAAGAGCACTGCAGTTGGCTCTTGGAGAGCAGGAGTATGTGTCACTGTGGGTACCCATGTTCCAGCACCTGTCTGGGTGCAGAGGTCATGTTGGAAATCTTCCCTCTCTGAGAGGGTCAGTGAAAGCTCTCTGTGCCTGCAGGATTAAGAGCAAGAAGGAAAACCAGCGCCAGGTGGAGGAGCAGAGGATGCAGGAGGTGGCTAAGCAGCAAGAACCCTTCCTGGGGGAAGGTGTCTGCAAAGTTCTGGCCCAGCTTGAACTGGAGGAGAGGAGGCTAAACAAGGTCAAGCAAAAAGAGCAGCGAAATAAGGAGTACACAAGGTGAGCTGGCAACAGCTGGGCCTCTACTCCTTTTGCTGAGCTTAAGTGACTGTTTTGTGCCTTGCAGGTATGTTGAAGCTTTAAGAGCCGAGGTGAAGGAGAAGATGAAACTGTACAACATCAACTTGCCTCCCCTGTGCTCCTGCAACTCTGACTTCTGGGAGTCCCACCCTGATACCTGTGCCAACAATTGCATCTTCTACAAAAACCACAAAGGTAGGAGCTCCTGCATCTCAAGAGGAGATGGCACAAACCCAACTGAGGGTGTGGGTCTGACTGTACCGAGAGAAATCAAACCTGACCAGATGTCATTCTGTGCTTCAGATACACCTTAACTGCACAGATGTGCACCAGCTGCTGGCTTGCCTAATGCAGAACTGGGGCAGCTCAGGCATGGTGCTTGGGGAGAAGCTGGGTGCTTGGCTGCTCCTTTCCAGTCCCTTCTCCCTCTGTCTCTTCAGTGAGTTCCATGGCATCATCGGCAAAATGCCAACCTCTGTGGCAGAGCATTAAGTAGTGCCATAATGTTGACATGTGCCATGTGGGGGAGAACAAACTGGTTAAGGGCATGGGAACCTAGTGGCTTTTGTAGTGCTCTGCTTAAATGCCAAATGTGTTCTTTGAAGATCGCTTGTAAGAAAGTGATGGAAATCTTCTTTATGTGAGAGTGCTCTGATCTTGGCCAAACACCTGGCTGAGTAATTGGGAGTTCTCTGCTAGGTGGCTTTCCAAGCTGTAGAAATGGAAGCCTTATAGAAACCTCTGGCTGGCAATAATGCTCTGTAATGAGGATCCTACAAGTGGCTGTACAGCCTGTAGGTTGCAAAAAGAGTGTGGAAAACTATGGGCATCTTGATGATTTTTTTTTTTAATAGCAAACAAAAAAACTGTTTTTATTGCATTAGAAGCCTGAAGCTCTTAATCAGTGAAATGCTCATCTTGTAATACTGCTGCTTGCTCCCTTTCCCTCCCAGCCTACAGCCATGCACTACAGTCTGTCATCTCATCCTGTGACCTGGTGGATGGAAGGCTGAAGCTGCCCCTCCGCCACCTTGCTGCTCTCTGCACCTGCCCTGCAAAGGTGTGAAGAGGGCAGCGGTGGTGGTGCTGCAGTGTCTCAGCTCCAGAGCTGCACTATGCTGATGCATTTTGCAGTTGTGCTCAGGTTTGAACTGCACATCTTGGACTAGGTGCAGTTGGCTATTGCACAGGGCAAGGACAAGTGTAAAGAAGCAGATTGCTCTGTGGCCTTGGTTAGAGTCAAGCACTTGGATTTTAGCATTCAACTGCAGAATAAACTGCAGCACAGATTATGCTCTTTGGTCTCATTTGTGGTGAGAAATGAGCGGAAAGAAGGTGCCTGGGGTTGAATGGTCATGTTGTCTCATGCGTCACTGAAGCCCTCCTCCAGCAATTGCTTGCAGAGGGTTTTGCTGCGGGTGTGTGCCCCCAGCTGCTGCCTGAGGCTGCTGCCCAACCTTCACCCACTCTGCTCACTTCATGGAGGTGGGAGCCTGGGCACCCAGCCAGTCTGGGAACAGGGTGCATGCTCCAGCTGCTTTGGATGAAGAAGCCTCTGAGCCCAGACCCTGTCCCTCTCTTTTCTGTTCAGTTCCATATCGTGCACTCTGGCCCCTGACTCTCAGAGCAAGGCATATTGCTTGCTGCTTTCTTCCAAATGAGCACCTCTCTAATTACAGGGCAGCACCCAACCCATGCTACTATGGCCAGTGGTTTCCTCTGTGAAGGGGCTTTGCTCTGGGAAAGGTTTTTTCATCTCTTGGCACAGATGGTGCTTTCTCTGGCTGCTGCTGCTCATGGGATACTGGGACAAACTTGTTTTGAGCAGTGACAGCACATGTAGGGTGCTGTGTGGTACCCATATGGCTCTGCTCCTCTTTGCTGGGGCCCTGAGCATCTCTGAACTGAAACTCCATGCAGCCAGTTCCTCAAAGCTTCCTTTTCTTCCTCCACCCCACTGGGATGCCATGACCAAGCCTCCTCCTGCCTCCTCTCCACCATTAACCCAGGCAGGAAGGGCAGGCGCCCAAGCATGCAGCCCTGCTGCTGCTGCTGCTGACCCCGAACCATGGCCGAAGGTGGCTCAGCACGGTGGTGCCAGCACTACTCATTAACTGGGATGTGCGTCATGGGAAGACGCTGCTGACAGCCCTCAAGGGTTGATCACCTTGTCCAACCCACAAGGATCAGGGTTGGGGATGTCTGCATCACCTTGCTTGTGTCCCGGGGATCGAGGGAGGAAAGGGACCCCAATTTCCATCCATCCCTTGGGCTGTAGGCTACATCGACGCTGAGTTTAAAGGGATGGAGGTCAAATAGAGCCACAGTTAAACTATCGTCCCCATCTGTCCCTTGGCTGATGCTGAGCCCTGCTCACACCCCTATCTATAGTGACAGTGTCAAAATCCATGCAAATCAACTTCGGTTTGCCTGAGGCTGGGCAGCAGGGTTGGCCCAGGGCAGCCCCGATCCCAGCGCCCTTCCCGTGTGCTGCTGGAGTGATGGAGCAGCGGGGGACCTGAGAGCTGCAGCTGTGGGGATGCCAGCTCCGTGGGGGGGACAGAGCAGATCCGGGGGCTCCTGCAGAAGGGGCTCCTGGGCAGGTGTGTGCTGTGATTTGTTCCTCCTCAGTTTCTCTTCATCCCTTTTTCTGTTTCTCTTAATCCCTTTTTCTTCATCCTCCTTTTTTTGTTTGTTTGTTTTCTTTCCACTTTTTTTTCCTCTTTTATATTTTTTCAGATTTTGTCTTTTTTTTCCTTTTTTTTTTCTTTCTACTTCCTTATCTTTTCTGTGTTCTCATCTTTCTTTTTTTTCTGTTCTTCTATTTTTCTGTTGTGTTTTTTTCCAATTTTTCTTTTTTTTCTGTTGTTTTCCACTTTTTTCCTTTTTCTATAATTCCCTTTTGCTCTTTTTATTTATTTCATTATTTCCTTTTTTTTTCCTTTTTTTCTTTGTTTTCCCTTTATTTTCTTTTCTTTCCCATTTTTCTTATTTACATTTGTATGTGTGTGCACTCTTTTAGTTCTCTTTCCCCTTTTTTTTCCCCGTGTTTCCGTTTTTTTTTTCTTCCTTTTATTTCTTTTTTTTCCATCCTTCCTTTCTTCTCTTTCTTCCCCATATTTTCTTTTCCTTCTTTTTTCATTTCCCATTTCTTCCATCACCTGGTTTTTTTTTTTTTCTTCCTTTTTCTCCCCATCCCGCCCGCTGTGTCCGTCTCGGGGCGGGCAGTGCGGGGCGCGGGGCGGTCCCGGGGCGGTGCCGGGCGGGGAGCGGCGGCCCCGGGCCAGTAAAGGGCCGGGATCGGGGCCGGGGTGCGGCCCGCCGCTCGCCATGAGGGCAGCGCTCGCACCCGGCGTCCGCCTACTGCGCGCCGTGCCCCGGGACAGCCGGTGAGGGAGGACCTGGCGGGGACGCGGGATGGGCAGCGAGGGGGCTGAGGAACGCTGCGCTCCGCTGGGACGGGGATGCGCTGGGGCGGGGATGCGCTGGGATGGGGATGCGGCACGTGGCAGGATGGAGCTGCCACCTTCGCACCTCACTCCTGTCCGTGTTGTCCGTATTTGTGCCTCCTCCGACCCTCGGGCAGTGGTGGGCGGAGGGGCCGTGCGGCTCCTGGGCACTGGGAAAAATGCTTCTGGGTGCTCCGAGGCTCAGCCCCACAGGACTGCTCCAGGCAGAGGATGTCAGGAGACCCTGAGTGCGCCCCTGGGAGCGGTTGTGGACACAGGGTTCCCTCTCGGGACACACAGACCCTGGGTTGGACATTTCTGCAGGCATCCTGTCTGTCCTGTCCTGCGGGGTGAGGTGCTGAGTCTGCGCTGGGTTAATTGAGCAGAGATAGCTCTGCAGCCATGGCCAAACACCCTGGCAGCCGCCTGCTTCCCCTCTGCTTGCCCTGCACTGCTGTCATCTTTTCCACCCCCCCGTTTGTCCCTTGGGCTCGGGACACACACGGGATGTTTCTGTTCCCCTTTCTAATTCACAATGCCCTGCAGTGCTCAGCAATGATTTTATTATAAAATTATATATTTGGAATGAGAAACGGTGATTTTTACACCATGTTGGGCCCCAGCCATCCCCAGCCCCCAAAACAGAACTGTGCCCTGGCCCTGTGGGGCCCTTGGGTGTTCTGACACCTACCCATGCTATGGGAAGAAGTGAAACTGTGCTGACTTAAGCTCTTATAAAATGGCTTTCCATTGTTTTTGTTGTGTTTGGTTTTCTTTGTTTTTTTTTTTTATCCGAATGCAGAGTCCCACTCTTTGGGTTGGGATCTTCCAGGCGCTCTCCTTCAGCTCTGCTCAGAACAACATCCTCTGGAGACACCTCTCCCCATTTTTCCCAATTTCCACATTTAACTGGAGCAAACAGGAGGGAGCAAAGTGTGCAGCCCCCCTCCCTTTCCATTTCCCAGCTCGGTTTTGCTGAGCGCCGGCAGCACTGTGACTCAGCCACACTTCCACCCGTGGCCCCGCATGACATGGGGCTGCAAGGCCAGAGAAGCACCAGCCCCAACCCAGGCAATCACTCCGTTAGCAATAATCCCACTCTTATCTTTAATCCCAATTACAATCTCAACCTCAGGGCACTGCACTGCCTGGGGAAATGCCTATCTGGAGCTGACCCATCTAGTAGGAAGTCCTCCACCATCCTCATAGGAACCAGGATTATTCTGGGGGAGAACTGAGAGAAAATGGCCCCACTTTTCCCCTTTTCCATGCTTTTCAAAGGAAGGTGCTCAGTTCTCCATCACAGGCTAAGAGTAGCATGCATATACCCAAATATTGCAACCACTCACTGCAAGGATCCATCCTATGTCCTGGTGACTCTCATCCTCCTCATCTGATATTGAAGAATGGAATTTTTTGAGATGGTAACTGGGTTTTGCTCAATCCCCTATCCCTGACTCCCCTCTCCTACAGCTACCGTGGACTGACACTAGTGCTGACCTTCCTCTCCTACACCAGCTACCACCTCTCCCGAAAACCCATCAGCATTGTCAAGGTGAGTGACACAGCACCCCATACCCATATCCCATATCCTGAGAGGATCCCTGAGGACCTCCCTGGACTGACCTCATCCCATTTGCTCTGGACTGACCCTCCCAGAGCCAGCTGCACCTCAACTGTTCGGCGCTGGGCACCAACCCACACAACGACTCCAACAGCACCACGTGGTGCAGCTGGGCGCCCTTCGGTAAGGCTGGTACCCAGAACCCCAAATGCACCCAAATCTCAGCTCTGTGCCTGAAGGCAGTTTCAGTCATTAATGGGTTAAGGTGGGCAGGCAGGGGACCAGCACTCATTAGGCTGGAGGTGATCAAGTGGTGCAGGATTGTGCCCTGTGCCCCCGACCAAAGGACAGCGGATGTTGAAATCAGAACAGGGTGGGATGGCTCCCAGCTCCCAGCCCTACAGCCCGACCTGGGAGAGTCTGTGGGGTGGGGATGGGGATGGGGATAGGGATGCAGCCGCAGCCCTAATGCTTTCTCTTCTCCAGATCAGGACAACTACAAGGAGCTTTTTGGTGCTCTGGACAATGCCTTCCTTGTGGCATATGCCATCGGGATGTTCATCAGGTACAGGGGGTTGTGCTCAGGTTCCCTAGCTCAGCCCCATGCTCCCCATTTGGCACCACTCCTCAGTTTCCCATGCTCTCTCCACAGTGGCATTTTCGGGGAGCGGCTGCCGCTGCGGTACTACCTGTCGGTGGGCATGTTGCTGAGCGGGATCTTCACAGCACTCTTTGGCTTTGGCTACTTCTGGAACATCCATGTCCTATGGTACTACATCATTGTGCAGGTGTGGCCTGACCTCATCTCAATTTTGGCATTTCCTCCCTGCTCAGCGTGGGTGCCGATACCGCCCGCCCAGTTTGGCAGGCGCTCCCAGATCACCCTCTGGGATTGTTGCTCTGCTTCCTCCTGCTGGGAAAAATACCCACATTTGGGTGTTTGCTCTCTCCCTGCCAGGTGTGCAATGGGCTGGCACAGACGACTGGCTGGCCCTCAGTTGTGGCATGCGTCGGGAACTGGTTTGGGAAGGGAAAGTGAGTGCGTGTCCCTGTCCCCGTGTCTCCTGCTCACAGCCAGTGCTCATCCCACTGTCTTGTCCTCACAGGAGGGGCCTGATCATGGGCATCTGGAACTCACACACCTCCGTAGGCAATATCCTGGGCTCTCTCATTGCGGGTGCCTGGGTGTCCTCTGAGTGGGGCTTGTCCTTCATCGTGCCCGGAGTAATCATCGCTGTCATAGGCATTGTCTGCTTCTTCTTCCTTGTGGAGCGTGAGTGGTGTGATGTGAATACCCAGCATAGATTTCCTCTTTGCTCATTTCCAAGTGGTTTTGGTGACCCCAAAAAGTAGTTTCCCTTTGGAGGCAAGCAGGGATGTGTCCTCTGTGCTGGGAGCAGACCAAACACCACAGGAATGCTCAGGATCCTTTGGGATCGCACCCTGGCCTCCCTGATGCCATTGGCTCCTTGTAACTTTGCTCAGAAACATTTTGGGAGGTCTTGTGGGTTTCTGTGGGGCTGTTTCACTGCCAGGGACATGGCACCTGCAAGGCAGTGCTCCCAGGGGTGCCTTTTCCTCCCACAGATCCCGAGGACGTCGGCTGCAGCCCACCCCAGCAACACGTGAGTTCCATCGCTGTGCCTGGGGTGGGTGGGTGGGGAGCCTGCAGCCACACAGTGCCAGGGATCAACTAGCTTGTAAATGCCTTGGTGCTGTCAGAAATCTGAATGATGCCTGACTGTTGGGATGCTTACTGCATTGGTGCAGGCATCCTATGGGCCAGTTCTCAACCCAAGTCGTCACATCCCAGCAGCAAACTGTATCATTTCAGCAAACCTTAGGGATCAGCCCCACATCTACTTGCTTTTAGGATGCATCAGGCGAGAAGGACCCCGAAGGGGTGACCTCCGAGGACCACAGCAGCACTGATCCCAAAGAGCTGGCTGAGGAGCTTGAAGCCATCAGCTTCCTCGGGGCGCTCCGGATCCCCGTGAGTCCCTTCCTCCATATCCCCCTGGCAATAAAATTAGTGGAAAAATGTGTTCCTGATGCTGTCTTCTCTCCTCACAGGGTGTAGTGGAGTTCTCCCTTTGCCTACTCTTTGCCAAGCTGGTGAGCTACACCTTCCTCTACTGGCTGCCACTCTACATCGTGAATGTTGGTGAGGTTTTGGAGATGGCAGAGCAGTGCAGGGTAGATTCAGCCCCTCCTCAGCTGGGTCCTCACCCCTCTCCTCTTCCTGCAGCTCATTTTGGTGCCAAGGAAGCTGGAGACCTGTCCACCCTCTTTGACGTTGGCGGTATTTTAGGTTTGTGGTGCGCCTGAGTGCGGGGTTGGATCAATCCTTGGGGACAATCCTGGGTCTCTCTCACCCAGGCTCACCTTTCCCTTAGAGAAAATATCTTTTGGAGTGGACAGTTGTCTGTGGGTGGCAGGGAAACCCTGCGCAGGGAGGCAGCCAGCCATGGATAAATGACAGCCCTTCTCTGATGCAAAGATATTGAACTTGGATGTTCAGTCTTTAAGATATTTAACTTTGGGGGCATCTCGCTCAGAAGATGAGACAAAAGAGCATCTCAGTGCAGTGAACCATTTAATTTTGGGCTAACCCAGTGTGGAACTGCTTTGCCCTTGGGTCTGATGTGATTCCTTTATCACAGGGGGGATCTTTGCTGGCCTCATCTCTGACTACACTGGCGGCCGGGCCACCACATGCTGTGTGATGCTGGTTGTGGCTGCTCCCATGGTAAAAAAAAAAAAAAAAAAGACCCCAAAGGGATCTGTGTTCTCCATCCCACTCTGTCTTAAAGCCTGAGCAATACTGCAGCAAAGCCTTGGGGTCTCACTGAGCCAGTCCAGTTTTCATCCCTTTGCTTTGCACCTTGAAAGCTGAGAGCCCAAGCACCTGCATGTAGCTCACTTGGCTTTGCCACCATGAAACGCAGCTCATTAGCTGTAACCCAATCCATGCTGACTTGAAGCTGTGAGCCTTCTCCTTCCCACATCCCTTCTGAAGCCCTTCTGGAGCCATGTGCTCCATGGCCCCATCCAACAGCCACGATAGCACTGCTGGGGCAAATCTGTGCCTGGCGAGCAATGCTGTGCCATAAATTGCTACAACCTGTCTGTCTGGCATTCAGTCTGTTGGGACACAAGGCCAAGCCTGTGTCCCCTCCACATCCATTCAGCTGATGCTCACCACTTCCCAGCCCACTTGAAAGAGGCTTCGAGCTCAATGCAGTGATGATTTGGGTCCCCAAGGGTCTCCCATCCCGCACCTACAGTAATGATGCTGTGAAATTGCCCAGGAAAGTGGGATACTGAGGATGGGTTTGTGCTTTGTCTCTCTTCCAGCTGTTCCTGTACAACCACGTTGGGCAGAATGGCATTGGCACGTCTATAGGTAGGGAGCAACTGGGTGCAGTGATTCCATCACCGATGGGTAGTACGAGAAGTTCCACTCACTCTCCTGGCTTCATTTCTCCCCTCAAGCTGGGGCTTAGGGCACCCTCCTGTCTTTATTTTGGGAAGGAGACCATGGATGTTTTTTTCATTACCAAACCAGTGGGCTTGGCTGGGGAAAACATGAGCTGTTGAGTGCAATGCACACAGAGCAGGACTCACTGGGATGATGCTCCCACATCCCGCAGCTCCTGGGAGCATTCAGCTTCAGCCTCTCCACCACATCCTGGCTCTGGGCTGACCCCAGGCTGTCTTTTTCCTTGCAGCAATGCTGATCGTCTGCGGTGCGCTGGTGAATGGCCCCTATGCACTCATCACAACGGCAGTGTCAGCAGATTTGGTGAGAGTCATGGGGCTGTGTGCATTTTTAGCTGTTCCAACTCTTGTCCAGAAAAGCAGGATGATCACACTGTGTGCTTTCTTCCTACTGCTTCCTCAGTTCCCAGCTGTGTGACTCCTCTTTCTGTCCCCATGCATCTCCCCTAAGCGGGTACCTAGTGGAAAAATTTGCTCATGAATCACACAAGAATGCCACATCCCCGCATATGCTCAGTCTTCCCATTTGATACATGGAAATTGCCAGCATGTGTGGTGCTCACGCTGTTCTTCCTCCTCTCTTTTCACAGGGAACCCATGAGTCCCTCAAAGGAAACGCAAGAGCCCTGTCCACCGTCACGGCCATCATCGATGGCACGGGATCTGTAGGTCTGTACGCCGGGGGTGCTGGATGTTCTCCTGATGCTGTGGGGCTGGGGTGCCTTGCTCCCCTCTTCCCAAGTCCTAACACCTCTTGTGTTCCCTACAGGTGCTGCTCTGGGGCCCCTGCTGGCAGGGCTTATCTCCCCCACCGGCTGGAATAATGTATTCTACATGCTGATAGCAGCTGATGTCTTGGCTTGTCTGGTAGGTGCCTCCACGGAGGTTTCACAGCCTGAAGGTTCAGCCCCACAAACACGGTTTTCCCCAGGAAAACCCCCAAAACACATCTCCCAGCAGTGACAAAGCTCCCACCCTTCCTCTTGCAGCTCCTTGCTCGTGTGGTGGTCAAAGAGGTGCGCGCATGGTACGGCTGCATGGCGAGGAAGAGAGGGTACGTCCAGCGCGGCATGGGGATGTTTGTGGGGCATGGCCGAGGGATCGCGGTGCTGAGCACCATCCTTGTGTCTTGTAGCTCTAGTGTGCAGCTCACAGAGTCAGTGCTGGATGGGAAGTAGCTCGGTGTGAGTACCTCCGGCTGCACCCGCTTCAGCACCAGCACTGAATGCAAACACTGATTGGCCCCAATGCTTGGCGGGGTCACCAGCAGCCACACTCCCGCTGGAGGTGTCCCTGCTCGCTGCGGGGAGTTGGACCAGATGGCCTTTAAAGGTCCCTTCCAATGCAAACCAGTCTGTGATTCTATGATTGCAAATAATTCCACGGCCAAGCCAAAGGACACAACCCCAGCGAGCAGGGCATGCTGCAGGCAGGCACACAGCACATCCCCATCTCCAATGCCTTGGGACACAAAGCACTGATTAATTCAAAACGAACAAATTTAGAGGCTGCCCACCTGTGCTAATGAGTAGGTGACGCGGGTCATCAGCTGCTAATCAACCCATGGCCAGATTGCCGTGGGAGGGTGCACCTAAATCATCTCCAAATCAGCACCGGCCAAACCCCGCGATGAGCCGTGGTGCGCAGCCCAACACGAGCTCCTCCATCTTGTGCCCGCAGGTGAGGAGCAGCGTTGGTCCGCCTGGCGGTAAGTGCGGCCCGGTGCTGCAGGGCAGGCCGCCCGCTTGGCCCACTGCCGCTTCTGTGCTGTCTGCAGCGCTGTGCGTGCAGCGCCTTTGGGAACGCTGCGGGGCTGCGGGCCGTTCCCACTCTGCCTGAGGTGCGGCGGTGGCGGATCTTCCCCTCACGCTTTCCTCTCCCTGTGGCCGGAGCCCGGGAGCTGCTTTTCCCTCCCTTTATTCCCACAGCTCAGCCCTCGCTCTGTCCCCGCAGGTTCAAGCAGTTCTGACATGCCCTCGCCAGCTGTCCCGCGCTGCCGAAGGGTGAAGGGACGCAGCCGCTGTGCCACCATGTCACCGTGCCACCGCGCCAGCCCCGGGCCTGTCCCGCCGCCGTTTTGTCTCGGTGGGAGGAGGAGGTGGCCAGGAGCCAGCGGACAGTTTTGGGGCCAGTTCTGTGCCATCGGCTCTTTTATTAATAAAAAGGTGCAAAGCCTGTGCTGCCCACGCCTGCCTGGGTGCTGCGAGCCCCCCGCTGTGGGCTCACCCTGCCCTGCACACGGTGCTTCGGGACGTCAGACCATCGCCCAGCACGCTGCAGCAGCAGCAGGGCCATCCCTCCCCTGTGAGCGCCGCTCCCTGAGCCGCAGTGCAGATGCTGCTGCTCCTCGCCACTCCGTTCACCCCGCTTTCCCCCAGTACCACTCAGCATCAAGAACAGGAGACAGGTCCTGATGAGCAGATCAGCATGTGTGCTCTCCTCGCTTCAGTGCAGGAGGCTGATGGCCTTCGTTAGCCATCTCCTAATTAGAGGAGTGGAGCAGGAGGGCCACCTAATTAGCGTGATGCCAGCTGTGCAGCCAGCTGTGCGCTTGGGGGGCTTAGTATGAGGGGTGACATGGATTGGGGCACGTGGATCCTGGCCCAAAGAGAGCACATCTGGGCCCCGTGTTTTATTATGTGCTGATTCCATCACCAGAGAGGAAAAGAGGGGAGAAAAGAAGAAAAACAAGGTCCTGTGGGGCAGTGGAGCAGCGTGCAGTGTGTCCCCGTGCAGCGATGGATGGATTTGGAAAGCGATGGCCACTGCTGTGCACCCAGCAAACTGGGGAGGAAAGAGAGGAGAAGTGATGGGGCACACAGAGAGAAGCAAATTGCCAGTTTGCCAGCACAGTATCACCAAGATGGGCTGAGAACAGTTAGAATCACAGAATATCCTGACTTGAAGGATCACTGAGTCCAACTCTGAGTTGTCTGGGTACATGTGAGACCGAGCTTAGCCTTAATTGCAATAGGAGGATGGGGAAGGCTGAAATACACACCTAAAGCAAAAATCCCACAGACGTGACACACACGCACACGGGCTTATTGCAAAACCAAAGGCATTTTTCCTTTCTTCCTTTTTTTTTTTTTTTTTTTTTTCCACTTTCTGCCCTTTGTTGCCTCAGCTCACAGTTTTTCCAGGATGAACTGAAGCCGCCTTCTGCTGCAGCTGGCCTTGGAAAATGTGAGCAGCCCTGGCTGCAGTCTGGGAGCACCAGAGCCCAACGCCAGGAGTCACACATCTCACCGGGACTTCAGAGACCAGCAGGAGGGCTGCATCCCTGGGTCCATCACAGCACCCATGCATTAAAAAGCTCACAATCCTCTACCTGGGAAAATCGGGATTTTAGGGCACACAAAGCTGTGGGGGCCAGCACCGATTTCCCCTCTAGCAGCCGTCCCTGTGTGCTCATCCATCCATGACCCTGCAGTGCTGCTCTCTGAGCCGTGCCAGGAAGGGCCGTGCTGCCTTTGGAGCAGTGCTGGCTCTGCAGAGGTGAGGAGGTGGTTCGGGCACGGGCCGTAATTACCCGCGCAAGGAGCAGCCGGCGGGCACTGAAGGGCTTTTTAATTAGCAGCCAAAGGCAAAGCGGGACTCAACAGCGGGAAGCTGAAGTCAGCAAAGTCAAGGTGGAAATCAGAGGCCAGTTCTGTGCCAGCGAGAGTAATTAAACGCCAGCAGAGCGCAGCACGAGGCGTGAGGAATTGCCGTCACTCACAGACCTTAAATCAGGAGCAGGAGATTCTCCTGCGCTGGGCACCAGAATCCCAGCGGCCAAGCAGCCCACTCCTTCCTAATGAGCGGGCAGAGGTTGGTGCAGGGAGGGCTGTCAGCCCAGCAGCCCACGAGCAGCAGCTTTCAGCCTGCTGCCAGCAGTCCTGGTGTGGGGATTCTCTTGCTGGGATTTAGCATGATCCTCCCGGATGGGATGTGGATCATCTGCAGGAGGAGAGCTGGCAGCAGGAAAATACTGGGTTATGACATTCACCTGAATTCCCAGCATCTGACCAGCAATGGAGGACCACAGAATTGTAAGGGATGGAAAAGACCACTACGATGATCATTTTTGGTTCGGGTGGGAGACAGCAGCAAAAGCTTGGAAAGCAGCTCTGGCACACAGTGATTCCTTGACGTACTCCTTCCTTCCCCAAAAATAAACAGGAACAGTCTGGAAAGGCCCTGTGTGGGGGGAGCCAAGCTGCAGTGCTGCACCCAGCATGAATAACACTGCAGAGAGCCCATGGCCATCGGAGCACCCCCAGAGGGGGCACAAGGCAAGGATGGGGTCTGTCTTAATGGTCCCCCAAGTGCACCCCAGGAGGTGCCGAATGATTAATTTCAGTTACAAACAGGTGACTAATGGGAGCACAAAGCAAACATTCTGGGTGTATTTCCAGGGAGAAGCCTCATACTTCTGCTTTTAAAGCTTTTTTTTAGTGCTTCAGCTGCTTTGCCACAGCTTCCCTATTTGTGAGACACGACGCCAGCAGTGAGGCTTTGGGAACTGCTCACTGCTGTCACTGTTATTAAGATGAAGAATCAAATACAAATTCTGTTTCAGGCTCAACTTCAGAACCTCCCAGAGAGCCAACGCTGGCGCTGCATAACTGGGAGCAGAGCACAGGGAGCATCCAAGGCCCCCACACCTGAAAAGGGGGAACCTCCCAAAAAGCACAGAAAGGGCAGCTTTCAGTAACACCAAAATGTGCAAAACTCCTATTCCTGGAAAACAGACAAAGACTGGGCCAGGGCTTCCTCCAAAAGTTTTATTAATGTTAAAAAAGAATTTAAAAAATCCAACAATCAACGCCCCAACTCGGTCACCCGGTTTACTGCCACGAAAACGGGATCCATTCTCGGGGACTTTCCCTCCATGCTGCTGAAATAAAACAAAGTGAAGAAACCACCCTCCCTCCGTTCCCTTGAACAATAAAAAAAGGACAAAAAAAGGAGATAAAGTATTAACTCAAACCAACCGAGGCCTCAGGCTGAGCCTGAGACAGGTGGGCTCAGAGGGACAACAGGATCGGCTGGAAGAGGCCCCTCGGATCACTGAGCCAACCAACAGCCAGCGCTCCACCTCCCGCTCGTCCCATTTCCGCTGACAGAAGGGGCTCCGTGAGGCCGCTCAGTCCCACAGCCGCCGGAATCCCTGCAGAAGCGGCTCCGTGGCACAGCCTCACCTCCAGCAGCGCAGCGCCTTGGCGTGTGTCGGCTCCAGGAGGTGCATCCCCAGCAGCAGCGCGCAGCCCAGCAGCAGCAGGGCCATGACGGCCAGCAGCACCAGGCGGCCCACCAGGAAGGTGTCCACGATCTGAGGGCAGAACACAGCGTTACAGCCCGCGTCCCTTTGTGGCTGGGAGAGACAAGGGAGAACGTTACACCAGGAAACTCCTGGGGTTCCACTGCGTCATCCTGGGTCACAAAAGCTTCAGGTGCAAAAAACAGATTCAAAAGGCGGGAAGGCAGCTTCCAGCACCAGCCTCCCTGGGGCGGCCCCAGGGCTGCGAGCCCCCGGCTCCATTGAGCCGAAGGCCCTGGCACACACAGCCAGGACGCCGCAGTGAGGGGCTCCTGTGGATGCCGCGATGGCTCCTTCAGCACGTTTCACTTTTTAATTAGCCAATTAGCGGGGCTTCATCGCAAAGAGCCCAGGTCATGCATTATGTATAGACGGAGTCCTGCCCGACCGCGGGACCCAGAACGCAAGCCGGCCGTCGGGGAGCGGAGCCGCCCTGCCTTCACGTGAGCGGTTTCACACGTGGCAGAAGAAAGAAACCGCACGGGTTTGCGGCACGGATGGGCATCGGGAGCAACAACGGATTTACATCCGTACGGAGCGGAACGCGCCTTCAAACAGGGCGCGGGCAGCCTGGAGAGAGCGAAGGGGGGAGGAACGGGGGGGAAGATCGGGAAGGGCCGCCCGGAGGGGCGGAGCTCACCTGGGGGCCCGCGGGCGGCCCCGCACCGCCGTCGTCCCGCGGGAGCAGCAGCAGCGCGGCGCTCAGCAGCGCGGCGCACAGCGGCACGAGCAGCGCGGCCAACCTGCGCGCGAAGCGGCGCGAGGCCTCAGCGGCACCGCCGCCGCCCCGCCGCCCCGCCGCGCGCCCCGCCCCCCCCCCTTACCGCGCGGCCCCGGAGGCGCGTGCGAGCAGCAGGCAGAGCAGCAGCGCCAGCGCCCACAGCCCCGCCAGCAGCAGCGCGCCCGGCCCCGCGCCCAGCGCCGCTCCCGCCATGCCTCCGCGTCTTCTGCCTGGCGACCGCGCCGCTTCCGCCCAATCGGCGCCGCCCGCCGCGCGCTCCGCGCTTCCCATTGGCTGAAGGAAGGGGGGCGGCCTCAAGGCCTGCCCCGGCCGTTGGCGCGGCCGCGCGCCGTGCAGGTGCCGGCGTTGCTGAGCTCGGGGTCGGTGCCAGTGGAGCCGCGCCCCGGCGTCCCGTAATGCTCACCGCCCCGCCCGCGGTGCGTGCGCCCGTGGGTGGCTTCGTGTCGGCGCCCGGGAGTCCGTCGGGAGAAGTCCCGACGCCGGCTGAGCGGAAGGCTGTGTGCAGCGCTCCTGCAAGGGCTGCGTGGTCCGCTTTCATTTCTGCCGCTCCTTCCTTCAGCCCCCGCAATAAAATAAAATAAAAGGGAAAAAGAATCGAAGAGGAGAAAAAGCAAATTGTGAATTGCGAAAGATGGGCAAGCAGCGAAAATGGAGGATGTCACGAGTGAAACTTTGCGGGTGTTGGCACAGCACGGGTTCGGGCGGCAGCGACCGCAGGGCGCACAGCTGCGGCGCGGTGACCAGCTGGGCGCTGCGGGCCGGCAGAGCCTGGGGCAGAGGCGGCGCGGCGTCCGCACTGCGGTCGCTGCCGTCGGTAACGACTTGTCCGTAACGAGTGTTGAATTATTGTACGGACGCTTGTATTATTATTAATTTGTGACCAAATAGCCCATCTGCAGGCGGGGGGAGGTGGTTCTGGTGGATTTTTGGCAGCTGGGCAAACGGAGCCTTCAGAGCCGCGACCCCCAGCGCTGAGGCTGACGACGCGCTGGCCCAGCGGGACGCGGAGCTCACCTTTCTGCAGAGGCCGCGGGGCAGCGCGGGTTGGACCAAAGCTCGTTTGGAAATTAATTGTCTGAGGCACAGGGCAGGGCTGGGCGGAGGGGTCTCGTTGGGGCGGTAACTGCACAGCTGAGCACTCGGAGGTGCCAACCCAAGGCAGAACGGAACAGCTATGAAACGAGGAAAACAAGAAAGCCTCCCCCAGTTGGACCAGCATCGTTTGGTGCTACTTTCTGCCCCAGAACGTGGATTTCATGGTGGTGCCTGCTGGAAATACCCCGTCCCACTCCATCCCCAGTGCAGTGGGCTCTCCCACTCCAAAGCTGAAAATGGGGGGAGGTCCGGCAGCAGAGAGCTGCGGGAGGTCGGACAAAGCAGTGGAGTGGTTCCCTCAGCACAGCTCTGCAGAGCAGAGGAGCTGATCCAGAGCTCCTTGCACCGCTGTAAAGCCCGCAGTGTTACAGCTGGCTGTGGGCTGGCTTATCAAATATTAGGAGCAGGCGCTGATGCAGGTCTATCCTAGCCCTGATTTAAAGACGGCTGAATTGCTAAATATTTTTATTAGCAGCAAATTTGCGGCTTGCTGGAACTAATTTCACGCCCAGTAGATATGGAGCTTAAGCTGGGGATGGCGTTAAATTGCTCTCTGGTACGGGTGTGTAAGCCCTTTGGGGATGCTGCTGGATGGGAGCAGGTGCCAGGGCCCCTGTGGGGCATCGTTTTGGGGTGGCATCTCGGGCTCACCTACACAGTGGGAAATGTGTCTGTAAAATGCAAAAGTCTCGTAGGCATGGCTTTGCTTTTGGAGGGGCTAAGCTTGCTGCAAGCACAGAGGGAGCAGGGAGCAAGGCTGGGAAGATGCTCTTTGTATTTTAGGGATGCACTTGGCATATTTGTGATATTTGGGGCATTGCAAGTGACAGCATCCTGTGCTTCTTCGCCACATCTGGAAAAGGCTTTTCCATTGCATTGCTGCTGATGAGGGTGGGATGTGGAGATGCTCCTCATTGCTCAGATGGGGAAGGTGGGCTGTGGGCGGCACGGGGCTGGGTGCAGCTGGGATGGGTGCAGGGTGATGGGCACACGGCGCCCTGGGCTCTGCTTACAGCCATAAAGACCCATGGCTGTGAGTGAGGGCTGTTCCATCCCTGCCCGGCATCTCCCCAGCATCACGCACAGATCGGCCAGGGGATGAGTTGCCCTTTTCCAAAGAGAATCACTAATGAAAGAAAGTTAAAATAATATAGGAGAGTTCATAATGGCTCCGGTGGGGATACGGCTCTCTCTCACAGGAACCCATTTCGTATTATCTTTCTCCTGCTCATGGCGGAAATCAATTTTAATAGCGGTGACAGGAAATGAGGATGTAAGACTTCAAATAGAACAAATCCTGCAACGCACAGAAATAATAAAATGGGATATGAAGTCACTTTTTAAATAAAAAACTTGATCTTGTCAAGAGAAAATGCGCCTAAAAGCACCCAAACGTGCTGGGTTTGGGGACAGAAGTGGTTCTCACTGTTGGGTGAAATTTCCCCCATGATCAGCACACAGTCTGAAGCTGATCTCGTACTGCTTTCTGGGATCTTCTTTTCTAGTTAGACCTCATGCGAAGGTGAAGGGGAGAAAAGAAAGCCTGGAGCGGGGCAACGTTTCAGTGCCACTACTGGGCAGTGGCTGTGCAAACTCCGGCCTCCATCTGGAAGACACCATATGATTGTAACTGAGCTGTTTACTAGCAGTTATTGTTCTGTTTATTCATTGTTACTGTTCTCTTATCAACTATCATTGATTTGGTTATCAATCCCTGGTGTTCTGTTTCCATAGTAGCCCACTGACATTTTTTAACCCAGGAATATCTCGAGGGTTTGGGGAGCCTCCCAAACCAGGATGGGTTTCTGCAGACACAACATTCCCTAAAGCATGTTGCGAGGTGTCCGTGTTGCCTTTTCCCATTGAATAAGAATAGGAATGTGGTCACTGCTTCCATCCTTGCTCCAGGACCTTTTCCAGCAACGTGTGACACCGCAGAGCCATTCGATGGAACTCCCAACACTTAACTTTAAGTGGCTCATCATCATTAGATCTTTTGGTATTCCTCGTAATGGCGTTAATCACGGGCCACTCATTAGATTTTAATGTGGCTGTAATATGTTCATCCATTGTCATTCAAGTGCAATTTGGCTCACTGGAAGGGCTGAGCGGTGTCACTGGGTTTGATGGCAACACCTTGCGTTCCCCTGCCTTGTCAGCCAACAGCCAGGCACTCTTTGGTCTTCAGAAATAAAATTGTGGGGTTTTCAGTGCCTGTGGGTTTGTATCAGAGCACACTGGGAACGACTGAGCTGCCAGCTCACAGCTTTGTCCCATCACACATGGGCAGCCTCGGGTTGGGGTCACATCTCTTGGGGGCATCCCAGGGCATTCCTGCCCCTCTCCAACCTGATTTTTATTACTGATGGATGGGGGGAAAGGAAAGAAAAAGAAAAACGGTGAAGGGAAACAAGTCCTTTCTGCCACACTGGGACTCCACGGCCCTTCCAAAACCTCACGTTGGTATCCCCATGTTCTCCAAGCACATCCTTTTATGTCAGCCTTGTGGTTTGGGCTGGGATCTGGAGGAAACACTTCAGTTTTCCCAGGTCCATCTGTGAGTCTCTGGGCTGAACTCCAGCAGGCGTATTGTGAGGCGTTTGGGTGGTAGATGGGATGCTTTTGGGGAACTTGGGCAGAAAATTAGAAGTTGGCTCATCAAATGGTCTCCTGTAATTGCAGTGCAAAGCCCCAGTCACAGCGGGGGCTGTTAAAAGCAGAACTGAATCTTTGCAAACTTTCATGGGTATAATTTCAGGAGAGATCAAAAAAAATGACACTAACATCGGGATGTAAAGCTACTCAAAATTCAAAGTTTATAGTCCATCTGTCTCTTTGCTTCAGGGAGCCTGTATTAAATTTATTGCTAAATAAAACAAATAAGCCTAGCAAAAATCGGCACCGAAATCTGCATACCCAGATGAGAATTAGCACACGTCTCTTGCTATGATGGCTGATTCTCAATTTGCATCTTTAAGGAGTTGTGACCAGAGCTGCATCTCCTGTGTCCCCGTGGGCTGGGTGAGCCCCCAGCATGGACCGAACCCAAAACGCTGCAGTTTGAGCCCAAATCCACCGGGCTGCAGCAGCACGGAGTGTGGATGGGAACGGCGGCTGGGAGACCCCGAAGGAGCAGCAAGACTTTATTACAGCTGGAAATTAAACATTTAAAAGCAGCAAGTTGGCAGTGGGGATTTTCTAATAAAAGCCATCTCGCCTGCCATTTACCCAGCACTCCCATCCGAAAGGACCGCAGCGCGCTTTCCCAGCTCGGCAAGGTGTCATTAACCCCTGGCCGGCCGATGGATGCTATCCCTCCTCCTGCTGCCTATGGATTATTGATAAAGCCCTCGTTATGTCCCCCCTGCGCTTATCTGGTAGGGGCTGTTGGGTCTATGGGCTGTTATGAGGATGTGCTGAACGCACCGTGCCTTGTTTGTTTTCCACAGCAAACAGCATTGCTGCGTTGCTGCCATGAACCTTTTGGGTTTGCTCTCCTCTTGTTCCCAGGAAAGTCGTGTGCTAGGATAAAGATAACATTGTTGAGGGGAGTGGTTATCTGAGCAGTGGTTATCTGAGCAGTGGTTATCTGGTGGTGTACCGCAAGTGGAGGGAAATCAGAATAACAGAATGAAGCACAGCTGAAAAAGAGATAAAAGCTGGAGGATCCCTTCGTTTCAGCTCCATGCCATAATCAGTTCTGCCCGTGTTCCTGTGATGCAGGGGTTGCATTGGATGACAATGGTGGATGACTCTCAGAACTCAGTGGGATTTGAGCAAGGCATGGGAAAGCATGTGAGCCCTAACTGAGCATCCCAAATATCCAGCACCAACTCAGCACTCAGAGCTGTATGGCATGCAGGGAGCAGCCAGCCGTCCTCAGCGTGGTCCATCGGGCTCCTTGGAGCCATGCTGGGCGGGTTTTGGGTCGGCCCTTTGGGGCTGAGCTGTGTCCTCTGCCCAGCACCACACCTCACCTCATCATCCACCCTCTCATTGTTTTAACATCTACTGCTTAATAATTTACCCCTCTCCTCCCTTATACATATTTCAGGGGATTTCAGCATCTCCCATCACACCCCATCATGGCGTGCGTCAGGAAATCCAACACCAGCCCCAGTGCAATCTTGGAAGGAGAACTGAATTATTTATGGCAAAGTGGTCAAACGACAGAGAGTGAAGCACCAGGCCTGGTGTAATTTCGTGTCTCCTGCAGCCAGTTATGTAAAATGTAAATATTACAAGTTATCTGTGTCACTGCTCCTGCCAAATGTTTAATATTTTAGCAAAGTTGCTCTGAGTACTCTTGCCACTTCACAGAAGGAACTCGGTGTGCTCTTGAATAAGTGCTAATTAGTTTGCTCTAATTGCATATTTACAACTTCAAGTGCACAAAACACAGCCTTGCTGTGGGTGCGTGGTGCAAAGTCCCTATTTTTGCCAAAAGGGTTTAATTTTAGGGAGGTTTCCACTTCCTGATGTGGGACGGGGAGTTTTGAGCGAGGGCTGGGGGGTTGGATCCCCTTTGCAGCATCGCTCTATGGAGGAGAAGGTGTATTTGATATCAGAGTGGGTGTACTTGATATCAGATGTGTGTGCATTTGGGTACAAAGCTGATGGCAATTTGCGAGGAGAAAAGAGTGGAGTGAGAGCCAGTGCTGCCCTCAGATGTGGGGTGGGTGCTTCCGTGCTCCTGGTGCATCCCTCCCACCCCACGCAGCCCGGCGTGGAGCTGAGCACAGCCTCACGGCTGCCCTGCCGGGTGCCGCCCACGGAACGCAGATGAGGGATGAGCATCCCAGCCCTGATCTGTGCTCCAAACCCAAACCAGCACGAAATCCCCACAAGTCACTGCCCCAACGGGCTCTGTGGGGTGCCGTCAAAATATATGGGACTATATGGAAAAACAGAAATTTCAGTGCATTTCTCCCCTTTCGTTTTTTTGCGGAGGAGGAAAGCCTGCATGACTTTTGGTCTTTGTGTGCTATTTAGCGAAGGGCACAGGCAGCACCTCGCCCACACTGCTCAGCCAAGAGGTGCTGGGGGCGCCGGCTGCATTTTTTTTAGCAAGAAGCCAAATTTCAGAAGTTTATTTCCAGGAGCGTGGAAACAAAACGGGAGCGGCTGGAAGGCGGCCCTCAAACAGCGCCCACCGCGGCCAACGGCTGCACTCGATCCCATCGCTCCACTGCCCCCAGCGCCCATTGTTCCAGGTTTCCGCACTGCTTCCAGCGACTCCCGGCGCCCTCAGCCTCCCGGTGCGGACACGACTGCGATCCGCACCGAGCAGCGCCCGGCAGCGCCCGGCACCATCGGCCCGACGCCACCCGGCCGGCGGCGCAGCGCGTGGAGCGCGGCTACCAGGGCGCGTGGCGCGGCGCGCGCCGCTCCGGGGCCGTGGGCGGGAAGCGGGCGGGGCTGCGCGCGGCGGTGGGCGGGGCTGCGCGCGGCGGTGGGCGGGGCTCTGCGCGGCGGTGGGCGGGGCTCTGCGCGGCGGGGCCGGGCGGGCGGCAGCGGCGGCGCGCTGTCAGGCCGGTGCCGGTGTGATGAAGATTGGCGGCAGGTAGGCGCTGTCACTCAGCGGCGGGGCCGCCGCGCGGGGGCGGGCGGAGCCGAGCGGACAAAGCGGCCCCGGGCGCCGGGGCACGTGCGGCGGGCGGCGGCGGGCGGCTCCTCCGCGCCCTCCTCCCGTCGGCGCTCCGGTGCGGGAAGTAACTTGGCGTTCCGCTGCGGCGCTCGCGGCGCCGTTCCTCTCCGCCTCTCCCGGTGCGCGGCTCCCGGCGGCGGTGCATAGCGGCGGGGGACCGGAATGTGACCCCCCCCCTCCCCTCCCCTTCCCCCTTCCCCGGTCGTTGCAACGCTATGCGGCCGCGCGGTGCTCTCCGGCCGCGTGCGGTGCTCGCGGCGATGGGGCCGTTCCCCGGGGGGCCGCGGTGCGCTCCGGCTCGGCACGGTTCTTCCCGGCGGTTGCAACCCTGGGGGGCCTCGTAATCCCGCCGGCGGTTTGTGTGCCCCAGCCCGGCCCGTTGCAGCCCCCCAGCCTCGTGCGATGCATCCCGGCTGCTCGCGGTCCCCGCAGCCCGCTGCGATCTTCCCCCGGCCCGTCGCAATCCCCCACAGGGGGCTGCGTTGCCCCCATCCCGTTGCAATGCGCTCCAGCTGCATGCAGTTGCCCTGACCCGTTGCGGTCCCCCAGTTCTTTGCGGTGCATCCCAGCAGCCTGCAGCCCCTCGGCCCGTTGCAATGCACCCCGGCTGCTTGCGATACCCAGCGGCCCACTGCGATACACCCAGCTGCGTGCAGCCCCCCAGTTTCTTGCAATCTCCTCCCTGCCCACCGCAGTGCATCCCAGCAGCCTGCAGTCCCCTAAAGCCATTTCAATCCTGCCCCATTGCAATGCACCCCAGTCACTTGCAGTTCCTGTGACCCGTTGCAGACCGCTGTCTTTTGCCATGCACTCAGCAGCCTGCAGCCCCCCAGTCCTTTGCAGTGCATCCTATCTGCTTGCAACCCCCCCGCCCCGTCCCGTTCAAATGCACTCCAGCTGCATGCAGGCACCTCGACCCGTTGGAATTCCCCCTGGTCCGCTGCAACCCCTCAGCTCTTTGCAACACACCCCGGCTGCTTGCCAATCCCCCAAACCCGTTGCAATCCCTCCATCCCATTGCACTGCACTTGGAGCGCACCCTTGGAGTAACACATAGGTCTGGGGAGCACCACCCCAAAAGCTGCCCTGCTCAGTGCCAGCACCCCGGCCAACCACCAGCCCAGGGCTGAAAGGGTGAAACACACTGTTTTCACATCTTTTTGCCCCCCTGCACCGTCGCTCCCTTCCCCAAGGTTTGTGTCTCTGCTCTTTGTTTGGATATTGGCCCCGTAACAGATGTCTGGGGATGCAGACTGGGGCTGCCAGCCCCTTTTGGGGTTTTTATCATTTATTTTCCTCGCTTCATTGAAACTTTCCCTGCTGTGTTTTCCCAAGTTTTGGTTTTTATTTCTCAGCCCCTTTTTAAAGAAAACACAAAAATCCCCATTTTGGGAATGTTTTTGGGCTGATTGGGGCACAAAACCTAAATAATGCCCATAGGAGGGGCACATTCCAGCCCTTTGGGGTGGGTGGAGTGAGGCATTGGGATTCCCCCCATTTTCCTCCCACTCCCTGTTTACTGAACTCCTCCTGCTGAGGTTTCCCTTATTATTAGGGGCAAAAGTTAATTGACCACATCTAATTATGGGTGCAGGCAGCAGCGAGGGACGGACCCCGCATTTCTCTGCTGTTGCACCCAAACCACATTTTAGTTCACATTTTAGTTCATATTTTAATTTTCGGTCACACTTCAGTCCACGTTTCAGCATTAATATCCGCATTCCTATTGCAGTATTGCTGGCTTAGAAGCTCCAGCTCTGACCAAACCTCCTCACTTTGCAGTTTTTTTGTTTTCCCAGGGAACTTTCTGATGGCTGAGCAGTCCCTGCCCGCTGCCTGCCTGCACCTCCCATCCCAACCCAGGAGATCTGCGGGAATTCAGCATCTGTCCCCCAGCCGCAGCCGAGCAGGTGTAGGTGAGCAGAGCGCAGTGCAGCGCTGTGGGGTTGGCTTCCCCCAGGATTCTCCTGTAATCCTACGACACTGTGGCTGAAAGTACTTTTGGACAGAGGTTGGGGTGGGGTTCCCCACCCTGGGGTGGATGGGGAGGTTGGAGGCAGTGCATAAAAGCGTGGTGTAAAAATATATGAGGCTCAGAGTGGTGCTGCAGTGGGAAACTGCTGCACGGATTGAAAATGTCCAACTTTGGGTTTTTGGGGCTGAGTGCTCTCCTGGATCTCTGTGCTGCAGTTTTGCTACTTCTCTTGCAGAAGTACTAAGCGCAAACAACAAAATGCATTTTCCCATAGTTTTCCAAAGTTCTGCTGTGCAGAAAACCCAAAAGATTGATGCTCTCTGACGGAAAAAACATTTTGATATCATAGGTTTTATCTGAGCACTGCTGCTTTCTGCTCTCTGATTGCACTTCTTCAGTCCAATTCCTGCTTTTTTGGTGGTGTTTTTGGGTTAAGCTCTGGGGTTGGGGTTAACTTGCAGCTGTCCCACGTCCCTACTGGCGGCTGTTGTAGGGAACATCTCACAGAGAGGGGCTGAGCGTGGAGCGGCTTTTCCCCTAATGAGAATTGCAATTGGAATCCCGTTAAGAACAAACGGCCGCTAATTAGAAAAAAAATATTTTGCGGCATCATTAGGCCAGAATGTGAAGATTCTGCCCAAACACGGCAGTGCTGGGGGGAAATGGGTTTAATCCTCGCAGGGATGCGGCGCCAGGGGATGCTCCAGGTGGAAAATCCCGGGGAGAATCCCACGGGACGGCCCCAAAGCACAGCTGGAGTGGGACGGCCCCGCAGCTGTGTCAATACGACGGGAATTCGGCCTTGGCTCCGCGCTCCCCCCTCCCCTCCTCTGCCAATAACATCGTGTTGGGCTCCAGCGTGCGCTGATAAACTTAAATTGGTGTTGGTTCACTCTGTGAGTGCGGTGAGGTGCAGGGCTGTGTCTGGCGCAGCAGGGATTTTTTTTCAATTAAAAAAAAAAAGGGCAAAGATGCCTTTTTGGTCATCACTGCTGGAGCGATGCGGCGCTGCTAACGAGATGCAGATGCTGGCGGCAGCGCCGGGCCGACGCTCATGACCCTTCTGTGAGTGTGGGAGCGAAATCGCCCCAAGCCGGCCCTGCAGTGGGAATTCTGGGGTCACGCTGAGAATTGTTCCCAGCGCCAGCCCTGCCTGTTAGCATCCCGCAGCACCAGGTAGCATCGTGTGGCAAAAGGCAGTGGGACTGCAGGGGAAGGGCTGCAGATCCCCTCAACCCAAATCCCTGCATCCCGCCAGGAAGCTGTAAGCCCACATCCCAAATCCCATCCCAGCCTACATCCCAACCCATATCCCAACCTGCGTCCCAACCCTTCCCAAATTCGGGAGGGCAGCTGCAGTGCAGTACGATTGGAGCGCCTCAGGAAAGTGCCACCAGCTCCGTTCTGTGCGTAGCTTTCAACTTTAATAAGGTGTTGCAAAAACTATGAAAATAGTTATAACCAAAACCACATTTTTTCGGCGCGCGCCGGCTCTGTTCTGCGTCCCTTGGCCACAATGTCTGCCTTTGTACCCTCCATAAAGCTGTTGGAGCGCAGTGAGGAATGGCAGCGGGGCAGGATGGGGGTTAATGGACACGATGTGGATATCCGAAAATCCCAGGCGGGGTTGGAAGCGTTGCAGGCAATGTGTTTGATTTCGCTTTCAAAACCAGGATTTGGGGCATTAAAATCACATCGCCCGGGCTCAGGAAGCTGACCTGAAATCCCCCCCAGCATCGGAAGGTGTTGTTACTATTGCTGTATGTTGTCCGTACTGTTGGGCCAGTGGGTTTGGATGCCTCGCTTTGTTGAAAGGCGCTTTATAGGTTTGCAGAGCCCTTAATGTGGTTGGAAGCACCGCTCCCAGCTTGCAGGGCTGCATTAGGGCAGCTCTGCTTCATCCCATCCAATTCCCACCGCAGTGCTGTGAGCCGGAGCCCTCCGCCCGCAGCGCCCTGCGTTGTGCCCATCTGTGATCCAGCACTGCCCAAGGTGGGGAATTCTTGTTTTTCTCACTTCAAACTTTACATTTTTTTTCTTGCCCATCCACAAAATTGACTTTCTGGCACATTTTGGGGTTTTAGTGTTTGCCTCCCTGGCATCCTGCAGCCCCGTTGCAACGGTGTGAAATTGGCCGCTCCGTCAGCTCCATCCAACAAGCTAAAATATCTCAGTCTCAAGGAGATCCCATTTTGACAAAGCTCTCGGAGGGACCAGAATGCATTTGCCCAGAAGTTGCTGTCCTTGTCTGTTAGGGACAGAGTGGGTGATTGATTTGGGGGCAGAAAACCCAAAGTCGGGTCCTTTGGTGCATGTGAGTTGCCATCCCTTTTGGAGGGCATTACACAGGTGGGTTGCTATCTGCACTTCTCCTAATGAGCTGGTAATTAAAACCCCTATCAGCTGCTCAAGCACAGCCCGCTGCGCCCCAGCAGTGCGGTGGGATCTCAGCAGCATTGCCTTGGAGATCCCTTGGGATTTTAGTGGGACCTCAGCGATGCTCTCCCAGTTTGGGGTGACTTTACCCCATCACTGTTCCAGAGGTGCTGCTACTCTTTATGTCCCATTCTGCCTCATCCCAACCAATGGCCCCCATTAGGCTGCCTTCCCTAAATCCATCCTAAATCTTTTCCAATTTATGTCCTTCACTCTCGTCATCCTCCCTGTGCAAGAAGACTCCAACACACAAAATTTTTGGTTTTCCCCCCTCCATCCCCCCATTTATCCACTTTTAAGCATCCCAAAGAGTAGAGCTGGAGGACAGATACTGCAAATCCCACTGCAAAATGAGCGGGCTGCTTCAGTGCTGAGCACCCAGGGGGTGGCCAAGGTTATCTCAAGGTGGGATCGCGTCATTCCCTGAAGCCTTTCCCGCTGGGATCTGCTTGGGGGGCCGGGAGCATCCCTGGGGCTGGGGCTGTTATCTCTGCATGCATCGTGCATTCCACTCTTGGAATTAATTGCACGGGCTCAGAGCATCATCTCCGTCCTGCTGCTTGCAGCACGCATGCAACGAGCTGGGCAGGGCTCAACACACCCAGCAGTAGTGCCTCTGTCCTTGCTCCTGCATTGAGTTTTGCTGCAAAAATAGAGTTTGCAAAACAAAGCAGTGTTTTCCCATCCCTGTAAGCCTTCCTCCTGCAACTTCCTAACCAGCCATGGACCAAGCTGCTCCTCCTTTACAAGTTGCAAGCATGCTTGTTGAATTTTCCTCTTTTTTTCTTCTTGAACTCAGTCTTTTTATCAAAGGAAGCACTCAAACCAGCACCCCAGCCTTTGCATCAACATCACTGAGCGGGGGGTGGCAGAGGTGAGCAATCTCCCAGGTGAGGTTTGCAGAGTCCTCGTTGTCATGGTCTCTTTGCAGAGTCCCCTTTTACAATGCTCTTTTTACAAACCCCTCTTACAGCATGTCCCCTTGCAAAGCCCCCTTTACAACACCCAACTTCGCAAACTCTTAAGCAAAGCCACCCTTGCAAACTTTCTTTGTGAAGCCCCCATTGCAAACATTCCCTTTGCAAAGCTATCACTCCAACGTCCCTTTTCCAATACCCCCTTTGCAAAGCCCTCTTTATAGCACCCAACTTTGCAAACCCCATTGCAAAGCTCCTTTTGCAAAGGCCTCTGCTCCCTCTGCAAAGCCACTTTTCCATCACCCTCTTTGTAAAGCCCCCATTAAAAACACCCGCTTTGCAAAGCTCCCCATTTTAAAGCTCAATTTGCAACGCCCCTTTTCCAAACACCCATCTTGCAAAGCCTCATTTACATCAGTGTTTTTGCAGAGCCCCTATTTGCAGCTCCCTGTTTCCAATGCCCTCGTTGCAGAGCCCCCATTTGCACAGCTCCCAGCGCAGACACCCCTTTGCAGAGCCCGCCATGTTGCCCCTGGTGGTGCATTTTGCCCCCCCCCCAGCTGTGGTGTGAGCCAGAGGGGCAGCACTTTGGCCCCGCTCCAGCACTGGGCCGGGACACACAGCACCCTTCATGAAACCAGACAGAATTAAACCCTTTGTTTCCTGTTTGCAGCCCGCCTTGGCCGAGGCCGGGAGCGCTCAACAAACCCTCCTTTGTACTAATTTAATTAATCGGGGCGGCGAGGATGAGAGTGGGGCTATAAATACTGCCCCTTCCCGGGGGCAGGAGGGGACTGCACGGTGCCATTCCCGGGTTGGTGACCCTGAGCACCACGGCGGTGCCATGTGGGAGCAAAATTTGGGAGGAAAAAGGGGATTTTTGGGAAAAGCACCGACGTGGTGACACAGCCGCTTTTGCAGTGCTGCTGTTGCACATCCTCCCAGAAAGCAAATGTCTTGCCCCAGTGTTTGCAGAAGACAAGTTTGGGGCTGTGCACAACTGAGCAAAATGTGCTGGGAATGGGGTGGGGGATTTGGGTTTGGTGCCAAAGATGGACCTACGTGATTCTGCTCTGGGGCTTGGGGTGGCAGATGACAAACGCCTCCTGACTGCTCGCATCGTTTCAGTGGGATATTCGCTGGTCTCTGTGCACTCTGAGGTTTTTCCACCCCGTCCCTTTGCAAATGATGAAAACAGAGAATGCAACACAGGGCAGTTCCCCATCTGCATTCCCTTCATGTTGTGTTGGGCACAGGAGCTGTGGGTGATGCTGCGGGGGTGGGGAACTCAATTCTGACCCCATTTTTGGGACATTCTGGCAGCTTTTGCTAATTGTGCCACAGTTCTGTGTTACTGAAGGAGCCCCACCAAATCTCCCTGAATAAACCCAAACCAGTGGAGCTCACAGAGGTGCTGGAGCAAAGCCAACTTTGAGGGGTTAAGGAGTTAAACCCACTTTGAGGAGGAATCCGACCCCATCCCAACTCCATCCAGAGCCAACATTCCCCATTCCCAGCTTTAGTTCCAATCCACTGCTCCATTCCTCAGCCCTAAAATGAGCCAGCATTCAGCATTTGACCAAATCTC